GCAGGAAGGACCCGTAGTAAACACAGGACAGATTTCCCCTTGAAGTATTTGAAACCAGAGATAAATGAAAACTAATGTAAATTGCAACACAGCCCAGACCCAGCTCAACTCCTGATTGGGTTGATGTGATCTGCCCCTCACTCCACCTACTAGGTAGAGGAAAAGCCTTGCCCTTTCTGGGTGAAACCTTTATTTACTTCAGTTTTCTAGAGTTCTTTTAAAAACAACATCTGCTATATAATAAAAAGTTATGAAATATGAGAAGAAAAAGGAAAATGTGACCTATAAGCAATTGGTTGTTTTAAAATCAGTTAACACATTATGTTAATTGATTAAGATGTTGATTGATTTGATTGATCAATTAATTAACGTGTTAAACACATTAACAGCACAGATATTGGCCTTAAGAGATCTTTCAAATAACAATTATAATATGTTATAGAAATTAGAGGACAGATGGACAAAAATGGATAAAAACATGGGTAATGTCAACAGAGAAATTGAATCTCTAAAAAGAAACAATTGGATATTTTGATATGAAAAAAAATACAGTATTGGAAGTGAAGCATTCATTGGAAGACTTAGCACACTGAACACAGTAGAAGTAAAGAAAAATGAAGACAGGGCAGTAGAAATTTTTTAACTGAAGCACAGAGAGATTTGGGGAGGGAAGCAAAGCAGATTGTGAAGGACATTTGGGGCAACATCAAACAGCCTGACAGTCATGTTATTGGAGTTCCAGGAGAGGAGAGAGGAAATGTAACAGAAGAAATATCGGAAGAGAAAATGGATAGAGATACTCCAAAACTGATGAAAGACATTAGCCCACAGATTGAAGCTCAGTAAACCTCAATCAGAATTGAGAACTACACTCAAATTGCTAAAAGCAAAAGATAAAGATATCATCTATTATGAGCAGATAGAGAAAGCAGATACTATATTTAAAAGAACATCAATAAGAATTGTAACTGACTCTCATCACAATCAGTAGACTCAATAAGACAATGGAATGACCTTTTTGAAAGAATTTAAACAAAAACTGCCAGCCTAGAGTTCTATGCCCAGTAAAAAATATTTGTCAAAAATGAAAATAAATGAAAGACGTATTCAGAAATAAAGCCGAGGAAAGTTTTTGTCAGTAGATCCACAGTACAAGAAATCTAAGGAACGAGAGAGAAATGTTCAAGGAAGTTCTCAAAACTGAAGAGAAAGGACCTGTTGTGGAAACACAGATATGTAGGGAGGAATGAAAAACTCTAGAAAAGATAAATCTAAAAGATCAGATATTTAGTTTTTATAAAAACTTATTATTTTAAAACAACAACAATAACTATTGGGGGATGTAAACATGTGAGGAAGCAACATAGATGACAAAAGAAACATAAAGGGTAGAGGGAGAATTATATTCTGTAAGATATGTACACTGTTGTGAAGTTGTAAAATACTAATTTCATCTCAATATTAATAAAGATCTCTCGTATCTACTAAAACACAGTATAAGTTATGGCTAAGAAGACAATAGAAGAAAGAATAATAAAATCTTTCCTTTTCTTATTGCCACTTTGAATTTATGGTAATCATTAAACACTTAAAATTTAATTTTAAACCTAGTGGTACTTTTACAACAGAAGTTTCTATGTAACACAATTGCATTCAGTTTGTCATGTAATATTTTCCTGGTATTGTTTGGGAATAAAAAGGCACAAACAGCTGATGAAGCCTAAACTCCATTTTCTCCTAATATGGTGAGGTATGAAGCTGCCCATTAAGGCTCATCAAACTGTTGGATGGGCCTGAGAATCAAAAATTACATAATGTTTCAAGAGTGGAAGTTCATGGTTTCTACCACACCCTGGGGTGAAGGAGAAATATTTGTGTATCTACCAAAAATGTGAGCGCTCTTCCAAGTGCTCTTATCCCCAAAAATGCTGTCTAACTTCTTTGCCAGAAAAAAGTTGATCATTGCAATTAAAGGAGTCTTGGGTGAATTGTTTCAGAGGGAACCAGTGTGTTACTCAGCTGCTCATGACCAATAATATTTCACATCTGTTCTCCCTGCCCCCAGCAGAGTTTTATGAATGTCTCTTCCCTGAGATTCCGTTAGTATATCCTTTGCATGAATAAGAAGCTGTTCCATAATTGAAATATTATTAGCCCGAAATATATCTTCCCCTTGTCTTCTGTGATTTACCTATTATTTCCCAAATTTCTTACTTCTTCAAATATTTTCAGTGTTTGGGTATATCTGTTTGTTTGCTTAATTTCTAAGATCAGTTATAATATACAGGTGCAGCCATCATGGTGGTATTACTGTATTGGCATGAAAAAAATGTCTATGCATGTTTTTGAGTCAGGAAAACAAAGCAGTTTATAGAACAATATTGGTATGATACAGATGGGAGGAAAAGACTTTCCATTTTTGCTTTATGCAATTTTATATTAGCCATATACACTTATAGTGCATTATAATTTTTAAAATATGGTCCATATCTACTGTTAAGACTGTCATATTTTTACAAGTCAAGCATATTTATTTTTTAGAGGAATTAATGTAAAAAATCTAGAACTCAAAAAAGTCTTAGATATCCATATACTCTGAGTCTTGTACATGGAGGGCAGGAGGATGTGTGAGCAGTGGTAACTGATTTCAGTTTTAAAAGAAGCAGGTGTTGGCTGGGCGCAGTGGCTCACACTTACAATCTCAGCACTTTTTGAGGCTGAGCTGGGTGGATCACCTGAGGTCAGGAGCTCAAGACCAGCCTAGCCAACTTGGCAAAATCCCGCCTCTGCTAAAATACAAAAATTAGCTGGACATGTTGGCTCAGGCCTGTAATCCCAGCTACTCTGACGGCTGAGGCAGGAGAATTGCTGAGATCGCGCCATTGCACGTCAGCCTGGGCAACAAGAGAGAAACTCCATCTCAAAAACAAAAAGTAGGTGTTTATATACTAGTACTCTAAGAATTTGTTAGTGGTTTTCAATATTAGTCTTATAGCAAAAGGAAAAAAGCCTTCAAAGCCTAAAAATAATAAAATTAGTAATAACTGTCTTAATATCTTGTCAATTTCATAGGCATTTCAACTGATAGAATGTGCCTGACTTGTTGAACTATAAAGAATTCAGTGAGAATTATCACCCAGTTATCAAACAAACTGCCTAAAATTCTTATCACACAACACATAAAAATAAAGTATATATTTCATATTTTCCTGAAATGTTTTCGGTTTAAAAAAACAAATTGGCTATCTTGCTGTCAGTTAATGTTCAAAACTAGAACTACATACAGTCAGATACTATGAAAAGATCAAAGATAAAATTCCAGAAATCTCTACTAAAATTAGATGAGATTTAGAAATCCAGGAGGATTCCTAGGTGTATACAGCATATGAGCAAATGGAAAATTTTTGATCTTGTTATGGGACCATTATTTTGCCTCTCTTTACATATTCTCATGAATATAATGTGTTTTACACTAGCCATGGCTAAATTCGGTAACAATCTGCTGCTGCTCTGCATGTTAAGATGAAATTGTCCCAAGTAGTTATAAAACCCACAGTGGACATTACTGAGCCATTGGTCCGGTTACGTTTTTCCACCTGGGAGCTCTTGTTAGAGTGAAACAGCTCAGACCATACATTGCTTAAGAGTTAGTCTCAGTCTTTTTGTCCAGTTCCACCTGAACCAAAGGAGAAGAAGGAAAGCTTGGAGGAGGTTCTTTGAAGGGAGTTGCAAACCCATACCAACAAGAACTCCTCATTCCTCCCCACTCCATCCCACTCCTATCCCTTGGAAATAGCCATTCCACTTTCTGTCTATGAATTTGACTACTCAGCACCACAAATAAATGGAATCATGTAGTATTTGTCATTTTGTGAGTGGCTTTTTCACTTAGCACAATGTCCTCAAGTTTCGTCTATATTGATTCTTATGTCAGAATTTCCTTCCTTTTTAAGGGTGGATACTATTTCATTGCATAAAGATATCACATTTTGCTTGTCCATTTATCCGTTGATAGCGCTTGAGTTGCTTCTAACTTTTGGCTATTGTAAATAGCCAATAGCCAAAAGCTATTGCATGGATGCTGTTAGCATGGATGTACAAACATTACTTTGAGTCCCTGCTCTCAATTCTTTTGAGTATATACCCAGAGGTGGAATCGCTGGGTCTTATGGATGTTCTATTTTTAATTTTTTGAGGAACTGCCATACTGTTTTCCATAGAACTGTCCCATTTTGCATTTCTGCCAACAGTGCACAAGGGTTGCAGTTTTTCTGCATGCTCACCAACACTTGTTATTTTCTGTTTTTTTATTTGTTTGCTTAATAGTAACCACCCTAATGGGTGTCAGCAGCAATTCTTATGCCCTTCTCTGCTGTCACCATTGATAGTTTACAGAAACAGACACTATGCATATTTTGACTACTGTAAGTAACTTTGCATTTTACAAGTTTGTGAAAATTATTGAAAACATTTTCATGTGAATTCCTATATGGCCGCAGAGTCATTAAGTACAGAGAATTTTTTAGCCAGGCGTGGTGGCTCACACCTGTAATCCCAGCACTTTGGGAGGCTGAAGCAGGTGGATCACAAGGTCAGGAGTTCAAGACCAGCCTGGCCAACATGGTGAAATCTCGTCTCTACTAAAAATTTAAAAATTAGCTGGGCGTGGTGGTGGGCACCTGTAATCCCAGCTACTCAGGAGGTGGAGGCGGGAGACTCTCTTGAACCCAGGAGGTGGAGGTTGCAGTGAGCTGAGATAGCACAACTGCACTCCAGCCTGGGCAACAGAGCAAGACTCTGTCTCAAAAAATAAATTAAAAAATAAATAAAGTACAGATAATTTTTTTAAAAGGGCTACCACTGAGTGGAGATTATTCCCTCAAACCCATCTCTACCATGGTAACTCCACTTCTCCATTTGATTTAATTAAATTCAATTTTGTGAATTTATAACATAAAAACAAAACCAATGTTTATTCATAGATACTATTCTTTTCTCAGAAAATCCATTCCTCACTGCCGAAGAATTAACAGGATGCTGTCCAATGAATCCCTCCACCCTCCTGCCTTCAGCCGCTCCAACTCAGAAGCCTCCGTAGACAGCGCCTCCATGGAGGATTTCTGGCGGGAAATAGAAAGTATTAAAGAAAGCAGCATGGGAGGGCAAGAAGAGCCACTGCCAGCTGAGGTCACACCTGTGGATGGTAAGATGCTGGATTTGTCTTCTTGAGTGCTGACTGGCTTGCTTTCTCTGCCCTCTCTTATTCTGTTCATAGGCAGAAATCATCCCACCAGTAGTGAATCAGTAGAATCTGACATATTGATGACCTATTCCCACTGACTGATTTATATCTACTGGCTCAGGGTGGCTTTTATCCAAGGTGACATGACCTGAGGAGGGCTGGACCTCAACAAAAATACAAATTGCTGCCTTATATACTGCTACTTAGGATGCTGTGCCTATCTATTGGTTTGATTCATTATCATCAAGCAGATTGAGTATTGTAATTCTGACAGCTTTTATATTTGTCTACTTATTTATTATTAGAGTAATTAATACTTAACTATTAATTACTACTAATTAGAGAGAGAAATTTTAGCACTGTAATTATGAAGAAGAAAAATTTGAATTTAAAGCATTTACTGATATTACTATATTAGATTATCTTGTATTCCACCAAATAAAAGCGATGTTGCTGTTGTTTTTTCCAACTCTTATTTTAGATGTACAAGGGGTACATCTGCAGGTTTCTTACATGGGTATAGTGCACTCAGGTAGTGAGCACAGTACCCTGTAGGTAGTTTTTGACCCATTCCCCTTTCCATACTTCCCCGCTCTAGTAGTGCGCAGTGTGTGTTGTTCCCATGTTTGTGTTCGTGGATGCTTGGTGTTTACCTCCCACTTGTAAATGAGAACATACAGTATTTGATTTTCTCTTCCTGTGTTAATTTGTTTAGAATTATGGCCTCTAGCTGCATTCTCATTGCTGCAAAGGGCCTGATTTTATTCTTTTTTATGGCTGCATAGTATCCCATCTTATATATGTACCCCATTTTCTTTATCTAGACCTCCAATGATGGGCAGCTAGGTTGATTCCATGTCTTTGCAGTTGTGAATAGCATTGCAATAAACATACAAGTGCATGTGTCTTTTCAGTATAATAACTTATATTGTTTTGGGTTTATACCCAGTAGTAGGATTGCTAGGTTAAATGGTAGCTCTGCTTTAAGTTCTTTGAGACATCTCCAAACTGCTTTCCACAGTGGCTGAACGAATTTATACTCCCACCAACAAAAGTACCCTAAGCATTCTCTTTTCTCTGCAGCAGTTCCAGTGTCTGGGTTTTTGGGTTTTTTTTACTTTTTTTTTACTTTTTGATAGTAGTCATTCTGACTGGTGTGAGACGAGACGATGTCTCATTATGGTTTTGATTTGCATTTGTCTGATAATTAGTGATGATGAGCATTTTTCATATATTTGTTGTCTGTATGTCTTTTTGTTGAAAAGCATATGTTCATATCCTTTGCCCATTTTTTAATGGAGTTATTTGCTTTTTGCTTGTTGATTTGTTTAAATTTCTTATAGATTCTGAATATTAGACCTTTGTTAGATGCATAGTTTGTGAGTATTTTCTCCCATTTCTAGGTTGTCTGTTTACTCTGTTAATGGCTTCTTTTGCTGTGTAAAAGCTCTTAAGTTTAATTAGGTCCCACTTGTCAATTTTTGTTTTGTTTTTATAGAAATTGCTTTTGGGGACTTGGCCAAAAAATGTGCCAAGACTGATGTCAGGAAGGATATTTCCTAGGTTTCCTTCTAGCGTTTTTATAGTTTGAGGTCTTACATTTAAATTTTTAATCCATCCTGAGTTAACTTTTGTATATGGTGAAAGATGAGGGTCCTGTTTCATTCTTCTACATATGATTAGTCAGTCATCCCAATACCATTTATTGAATAGGGAGTCCTTTACCCATTGCTTGTGAAACTAAACCGAAAAAGATGGAAGAGTGGGGGAAAAGCACCAATCAACAGTATAATTGTCCTTAGTTCTCAAAAAGAACAAAACTACTCACAATGAATTAAAAGCATAGATCAGTCATCTCGTCCAGGCCCCAACTGTCTATCAGCAAGCAAATACGTAAGACATCCAAGAAAGTCTAAAGGTGGTTTAGTAAAGTGTACACCTAGAGTGTGTTCATTAGCCAGTGATTAACCTCAAGACAACTGCCAGGATGAACTGAAACTTTAGAAAGTATTTTCATTCTTCATTCCCATTTCTATGAGTCTGTTTCTCAGAACTGATAAATCATTAAGATGTACCACCATTAACATACATCTGATATTACTTGAAATAAAAAGCCCTGCCACACATGTAACAAGAATCCATTCAAGGGAACCATGCTCCACAGTGAAATGTATTCTTACTCTTATTACTTGCTTGCTTAGATTTTGCCTTCTCAGACCCAGAAAGACTGGAAGACACATAAAGGAAAGTACCTATTATCCCCTACCCCTTTTTCTTTCTATCTACCCAGCTAGTTAGCTATTCATGTTAAACACCAAGAGTTCACAACGATAACCTCCAGTTTCAATCCAGCACCACAAGGCTTTTTGCAATCTTCCCTTTTTCTGTAATTTTTAACTCTCTTCTCCAGTAATAAACCTGGCTCCCACTCTATATTATGTATTTACTCATTTGCTCAAACCTAGAATACAGGAAATATTTTCAGGTTTGCTAACCTAACTGCTACAAAAGCAGACCTACTAACTACAGTTTGTTATTTATTTGCAGATTTTCTTCCTTGAAGCATTTGCACAGATCTTAAATGTACAGTTCAATGAGCTTTGACAAAAGCATGCACTCTTGTAATCTCATGCCAATCAAGATAGATAACATTTCAATCAACCCAGAAGATTTCCTCATGCTTTTTCCCAGTCAGTCTCATGCCTCCCAACGACTTACCATCCCTGGCCAGAGACAACCATGGTTCCCATGTTTTTGCATCATAGATTACTTTGGAGTTTGGCTTCTTTCACTGAGCAAGTTTTCGAGATACATCTAGGATATCAATAGTTTTTCTTTTTACTAGGGCTGCTGTAAACCACAAAACTCGTGGCTTAAAACAGCAGGACTAGCAGCCAAGGTGTCAAGCTGGCCCATGCTCTCTTGGAAAGTTCTAGGGGAGAATCCGTTCCATGTCTTTCTCTTAGCTTCTGGTGTTGCTGGCAATCCTGGCTGTTCCTTGGCTGTTGATATCACCTTGTGCCACTGTCTGTCTCCGTAGTCCATAGCATCCTCCCTATCTTTGTCTGTGTTTCTTCTCCTCTTCTTACAAAGCTACCAGTTACATTGGATTAAGGGCCTACCCTACTCTAGTGTGACCTCATCTCAATTTACATCTTAATCACATCTGCAAAAGCTTTGTTTCCAAATAAGGTTATATTCATAGACACCAGGATTTAAGACTTCAACATATCTTTTTGGGAGATATAATTCAACCCATAACAGTAATATTCCATTGTATAAATATGCTACAATTTGTTTATCCAACTACTTTTAAATTTGAGCATTGTTTACAATTTTGCTTATGATGAATAATGCTGTTATGGGCAATCTTGTGAAAGTCTTTGTGGGTAGATATGTTTTATTTCTCTTGGATATATGCAGTTTTCAGAGAATGTTCAATCATGTAAGCAACTGCCAGCATTTTTCCAAAGTAGCTGTACTATTTTACGCCCCTTCCAGCAATATATGACAGACAGTTCCACTTCACATCATTGCAACACCTGGTGCTTTCAGTCTCCGTTGTATGAGTGATTCTAGTGGATGTGTGGACTATCTCATTATGGTTGTAATTACGTTTCGCTGATGACTAACAATGTTGAACATTTTCTCCTGTGTGTGTTGTCTTTTTGTATATCTTGCTTCGTGAAAACTTTTGACTGATTTTTAAAATCTTTTATTACTTTTTATTAAAACTTTTTATTACTATATATTTTTGATACAAGTCCCTTGTTAAATATATGTATTGTAAATATTTTCTCACTGCCTGTGACTTGTCTATTCATATTCTTAATGGGGTCTTTTAATTGGATTTGTAAAATCTGTCTTTTCAGTTGTTTGTTGCTGGCATATAGAAATACACTTGATTTTTGTATCTTGATGTTATATACCATTACCTTCCTAAATTCATTTTCTACTAGTTGTCTACTAGATTTTTTGGGATTATGTATGTAAGCAAAGAGGTCATCTATGAGTAGAGACAATTTTCCTTTCTGATTTTTGTGCGTTTGTTTTTGATCTCGCCTTACCGCACTGGCTAGGGCGTCTAGTACAAGTTGAATGGAAGTGGTGACAGCACATACATATCCTTATGTGCCCAATCTTACATTCTGACTTTCTTAGGGTTGTAAGGTTATTCTTTGCAAGATATGTCTTTTTCATCCTTTTATTCACTACCTGTTGTTGTTTTGTTTTGTTTTTTCACTATTTCTTCATATTTTCTGTGCTTACATTTCAGCTATATCACTTTAACTTGTTAAGTTGCTGTTCAGGCATTTCAATCTTCATCCCTAACTTATCATAGTCTACTCAGATAAGTACCATGCTTCACTATATCAAATATAAGAACCCAGCAGCGCATTCTTCTTCCTGCCCGGTGCTTTGTACCATTGTCTTACATATAGCATCTGCATACGTTGTACATACATCAATGCAGTGTTGTCATTTTTGCTTTAAGTTGTCATATGTACCCATATATTTTTTATTTTGAAATAATTCCAAACATATAGAGAAGCGACAAGTGCAATTTTAAGGACTGTTTTTTTTCAGGGACCATTTGAGAGCAATTGCCAACCTGATGTTCTATCACTCCCAAGTACGTTAGGTGCTGTATGTATTTGTACATACACATTTACAGCGAGAGAAAGCCATTCCCTGTATAATCACAGCATACTATGAAAATGAACATGTTATTTTTAATATATAACTATCATCTAGTCCTCAGACCGCTATCATTTCTATATTACCTTTTATGACAAAAGAAAAACACTCCGGTTTAGAATCACTTGTTATGTTTAATTGAAAAACGTGTTTCTCTTTCTTCTCTCTCTCTTTCTCTCCCTGCGCCCCCCCCCCTTTTTTTTTTACAGTCTGGAAGGGTTTCTTAGCCTATCTCTGATTTTTATGACCTTGACACTTGAAGATTATAGGTAATTTTTATAGAATGTTTCTCTACATCAGACAATTTGGGATTGTCTGATGTTTCCCAATAACTTAGATTCAGGTTATACGTCTTGGGCAAGTTGTGATGTTGTGTTCTTCTCATGGCATCCTGTCAGGTGGCTCGCAATTTTAATTTGTTTCTGTCACTGATGATGTCCACTTTAATCACTTACTTAAGGGGGTATATGCAAGGTTTCTCCACTGTAAAGTTAGTCATTGCATTTTTCTAATTACTGTTTTCTTGGGAGGTACCGTCAAACTATATAAACATCCCACTGTACACCAAAGTATTTATTTATATCAGAACAGACTCCTGGTTTATTTAGTGTATTTATCTTTTACTATCATTTATTTTGATGCTCAGATTGCCCCACATTTCATTTGGGAGTCAGTTATATGGAGACCACAAGCATCCTATTTGAAAACAACCGCTGAAGGCTATTTTTAACCAACCAAGATTACAGATGTTGCATAGAGTGGGGCAAACAGTGGAGGGTATGAGTCCAGTCAAGGTAACTGCGGGAACCAAAATGAACTCCCTTAAGAGCAGGATAAGGAATACAGTGTCTCTACTAGAACACTCTGGGAGGTGTTGGTATTAGAGTTATTAAAAAAAAAAAAAACAGAAATGTTTCTTTCTCTTCCACTAGAGTTGATAATCTAGTGGAAGAGAAGGTAGTTAATGAAATCATATAAATAGATATATTTGGAGGAGAGAATTATTTGAAGGAAGAAGAAACAGCAGTGTTAGGATTCATGCAGTAGGACATGACCTTATCTGATGGGTTCAGGGAAAAAGAGACTTTCCTAAGAAAAGGATGTAGAAACTGACACCTGAAAGATGGGTGGTCAGTAATTATGAGGTCACGCAGAAGGACTGGCATGTCCAAAGACCTTGTGACAGAATAGAATGTTGGGTTTCTGAGGAATCCAAAGTAGGCCAGTATTGCCCAAAAACAGGAGAGAAGGAGTCCAGAAATGTAAGCAGTTGATGACTTACGTTTAACATCTTGTTGGCTATGGTAAGGGTTTTCTTCATCATAGAGCAAAGACAAACTGTAGAATTATTTTTGTTTTCATTAGAAAGGGCTCATTTAGTTATAATATGGATAATAGATTAGAAGGGGATCAAGAATGGCCTGGGAAGAACTGTCGGGAGTCTATCACAGCAGTCCACGTGAGAGGATATAGCTCTGACCTGGGTCATGGCAGGAGAGATAAAGGAAGGTGGCCATTTTGAGCAATAACAAGGAGGTAACATGAAAAGGCCTTGGGGATGTGTCGGAGTTGAGGCGTGAAAGAGAGGGAGAGGTCAAGAATGCCTCCTGGGTTACTCTTGCCTAATTACATGGGAGGGTGGGTTTCATTTGTTGAAATATGGAATCCTGAAAGAGGCCTAGAGTTGGGAGTGAGAAATATGAGTTTAGGTTTGAACACAGTGAATATGACATACGAATGAGAGAACCAAGTAGATACTGAATAGGCAGTCAGATATATGGAACTGAAATTCGAAGGAGTGCTCTGTTGAAGTTACACATTTGGCAGCTGGAGTGAACAGCCAACAGGAGTAACACTGATATCTGCCCCGGACATTTCTTACCCATGGAAAACGTGTATCCTACTTATGCTGCAGTTTAAGGACTTAGACCATCTTCACCCTTGATTTATGTCAACTCCAGTCCTACCAAGTACTCTTTCCTCCACTCTTTCATTATTCCTTACATAGGCTGAGGGGGAAAATGCAACTTTTAAAATTTTTCTAATTCTTAAAAATTATTTATATATTTATTTTGAGATGGAGTCTCCCTCTGTCACCAGGCTGGAATGCAGAGGCGAGATCTCAGCTCACAGCAACCTCTGCTTCCAGGGCTCAAGCAATTCTCCTGCCTCAGCCTCCCAAGTAGCTGGGACTACAGGCACGTGCCACCATGCCCAGCTAATTTTTGTAGTTTTAGTAGAGACAGGGTTTCACCATGTTGGCCAGGATGGTCTTGATCCGCCCAACTCAGCCTCCCAAAGTGCTGGGATTGTAAATGTGAGCTACCACGCCCAGCCTAAAATTTTAATATTAAAATATTACATTGTAAAATGTAAATGTTGTCTTCAGAAATTAAAATCTTATCCATAACTTAAGGAAGAGTTCCATGTCATAACTCACTAACTTAAAAGGCTTATTATTTAGGTTAAGGCTGTCAATCATAAATTCTCCTTTCATTTTTCATTAAAGGGACAGCTTACAAAGCACATGAACAATTAAAATAAGATAGCAAATTAAATATTCACCTAGCCAAGAAACTGGGCCTGTAAGACACATCAAAGGCTTTGTTTGTGCACCAGTGACGCAATAATGTAAGCAGAATCCAGGACTCCTAGACCAATGCTTTGGCATGCTAATCTGCTCTTTAAACAACACCATTTGGGTCATGCCTCTTTAGCATAGTTCCCAGAAACATATGTTTAGTAGATGTTCTGTTACAAGACACCGTTATTCTGATTTCCTTATATTTCTATATATTGAGGAATTACAGGTTTTTGAATTTTCTTCTGAGAAAAGAGGTTAATGTTCAGAATAAGGAGAAAGGTAGGAGAATGAACATCAATTAAATATTGACTTTGTTCCGGATTGTTTGCTACCTGTCAAAAATACATCGATTTAAAAAAAAAAATCCTCACAGGCAACCTGATCCCTTGTGGTTACTAGCCTCACTGTTGTATTTTTCTCTAATTTGGTCTTGAGGTCTCTCTCAGGTGAGTGGCTGTAAGCTAACCCTGCTCTGATGGAGCTACAGGGGATTTGGTCACTGGTGTTTGCCTTTCACAGGATACCCCTTTATACTGGTGGGTGGCCTAATACCTTCTCGTTCAACCCAGGACCTCATGTCCCTCTCACAGGAGACTCGTTTGTACTGATGCTAAAGAAGAGCCCTGACTGGAAATAAGCTAGGTTCAGGTGTGTGGGCCAGGTGAGACACAGAGGAGGCAAAACACAAGAAGTAAGAGAAAGGACAGATCCCAGGGAGAAGACGGCAGCTGCTCTCCCAGGACTGGTGGGAAGGGACAGTCGTCTGGGACACTTACAGTCAACAGGCAGGCAGGGAACAGGAAAGAGAGAGTGACTGAGGGACCTGGGGACCACAGCCTCGATTAGGATCCAAGCATTGCCCAAGCAGATTTCTTACCAGGAGTCCTAAGGGCAGGCGGGCATGAGTTCCAGAGAGTCGCACGGTGACTGAGAGGTGGTCACTGCACTGTATCTGCACAGTTCATGTAGGGGGTGTGGGTTGGTGGGATGAGTATGGCAGGTTGTATCCAGCTGCCTCATAGGAAGCCATCACCAAGAGGTGATTTTATAAGGCAGATATCAGGATCCATCATATTGAGGAATTGGGAGGAGGCGGACACCCGGAAACCGCATCAAGAGTGACTAAGCCCCGCCTCTGGTGTGAGAAAGTTAAATCCATGTTCAAAAGGGATACCAAGACAACATAAAATTATTCTTATAATAATCCGTAATCCCAGCCCGTTCTTATAATTCTTTCCCATAATTACTGTAGAAAAAAATACAAATACTCATTTCACCACACTCATTTTGCCAAGAGGACGCTGAGGCCTTGAGGTATCTTAAGACTTAGGAATTGGGCAGCTGGCGAATGTGGCCTTGGCGTTTGAACCTTTACGTGAGTGCTTGAAAAACCGATTTGTATTTCATTAAATCATGTTTTTTTCTATTATAGTTTTAATTTAAATATTCATATTTTATCACTTTCTGAAATTAGTAGGCCAGATATGGCTCATATTTAACTCTCTAGCAGGAAAATTTACCTTACCAAGTCTGCCAATTACCTTACTTTATTGGAAAATACTTTAAAATTTGACTTATTTTAAAAATACAATGCAGACTTTCATTCATTCTTATAGTTTTTTTTTTTTTTTTTTTTTTTTAGATGGAATCTTGCTCTGTCACCAGTCTTGAGGGCAGTGGCATGATCTCAGCTCACTGCAACCTCTGCCTCCCAGGTTCAAGCGATTCTCCTGCCTCACTCTCCCTAGTAGCTAGGACTACAGGCGTGTACCACTATGCCCAGCTAATTTTTGTATTTTTAGTAGAGCCAGGGTTTCACCATGTTGGACAGGATGGTCTCAATCTCTTGACCTCATGATCTGCCCGCCTCGGCCTCCCAAAGTGCTGGGATTACGGGCGAGAGCCACCACACCCAGCCCATTCTTATAATTCTTTCCCATAATTGCTGTAGAAAAAAATACAAATATTATATTATTTACTGATACTTCTTGTCTGATATTCACATGGCATCCAATCATCCAGAAAAAGTTCTAACCTTCTCTTGGTAATGTTCTTTTACAGAAGGAGAACTTGAAGCAGAATGGCTGCAAGATGTGGGTTTATCAACTCTGATCTCAGGTGATGAAGAAGAAGATGGTAAAGCCTTACTCTCTACATTGACTCGAACCCAAGCAGCTGCCGTGAAAAAAAGATATAATACCTATACCCAAACCATGAGGAAAAAGAATAAGCAGTCTGTCAGGGATGTCAGAGACATTTTTGGAGTCAGTGAATCTCCTGTAAGTAATTGTTCAAACATGGCTCAAAAGGTGCTTGGTTTGACTGGGAATGGGGGTAGGGTGGGTCTGGGGTAGAAAAAATATCAGAAATGTTGGTTGAGTGGTTCCTTTATAACTTTTTGAGAAAACTAAAGCAGACAATACAGTGCAAATTTTTACAAGTTTGAACTTAAGTGATCATTTCTTGTCTCCTGTAACTGCAATCTCCCTCAATAGTAAATTTATTACCTTCTTTGTTGAAATCAGAAAGTGACTTCTTCAGCAGTGGAGCTAGTCTTTGTGGGTAGGATCCATAGACCCTTGACTTAAATTTAAGCACTGAATAGAAACTCTGTGGTTGGGCAAAGGAGTCCCAGGGAAGTGGCCTTCAATGTTGTAAGCATGACTAGGTGGTTTGGTTTCAATAGGCGTTGGCAATGAGAGATTCGGTAGGGTGCCCTTTATGTTCCGATAAATTTAAATGGTCAAAAAATAAAAGATACTAGCGTTAATTAAGTGGGTGAGAAAATGATTCAGAAAACCATAAGGGAAGCACCACATGTTTTATGAGAAATGGCTGATTGAAGTTCTAGCTCACCCTTAGCAATTTTATGTCCACAATTTTACATCTAAGGCTGTTACTCATGTTCTCCTATGTATACATGTGTTTTACAGATAGCTCTGTCTTATAGCTTACTTGTTCATTGATTCACTGCACAATCGCAATGTTATATTGCAATAATTGCATGACAGATGTGACAAATGCTTATTGAATACATTATCTATGCAAGATTCTAGGTTAGCTTCTATGCAGATGGGATTCTTGAAACATTAGGGATAATTAGTATACAGAAAAAAGGAAATTTGATATTCAGCTGCAGTTAGAGACAAGTTGCCTGGGCAAGTTAATCACTCTGATTTAGGTTTCTTCTCCAATTAATTATAGTATCAATAATGGCATACATTAAAACTTCAGGGGTATTGAGTAGAAATCATGGTTTAAGACAGTCTCCAATGTGAATTACTTAAGGTTGCCTGTAAGTCATATCTTCTATTAAAGTAATCACGTTGGATAGTTGCCAAGACAGCTCATAGAGGCCCAGTTAAGCTTTGTATTTGTGCTAACAGTGTCCTAGAATAACACTATCCTTTAGAACTTTCTGTAGTGATGGAAATGGTCCACTTCTGTCCTGTATGGTAGCTCTAGTTACGTATGACTGCCAACACTTTAAATGTGGCTAGTGTGAGTAAGAAATTGAAATTTTAATTTTTCTTAATCTTAATTGATTTAAATATGAACAGTCACATGTAGCTTGTAGCTTACGTATTGAATAACATAGTTCTAGAATCTTCTGCCATATATAATGATATAACTTATGGTAAGTGCATTTTGAGTTCTGAGCTATTTGGATTTTCAACCTAGTGTAAGCCTGTGTCATTCTGGATGGTGGGATTTTCTACAGCTGTAATTGAGTAAAGGTGAATTCCACAATGTGAGGCAAGGACATTAGCTATAGATGTCCTGGCCAAGATGCCTACTGTAGTAAAGGTTTGCCTTGCTGGCTTTAATTCCTTGGGCTTGACATTTTGGTATTTTTTATCTGACTATACATATCAGATGTCCATCTTCATCACCCAGCAGCATCTTGGTTTATGATCAGAAACTGTGATCCTTAATGTCTAGTGGCACTTAGAGTCCTTTATGCTATGATACTGCAGCAGTACCAGGAGACTTTTTTTTTTTTTTTGAACAACAGAGATGGGGTGTCGCCATGTTAGCCAGGCTGGTCTTGAACTCCTGACCTCAGGTGATCCACCCATCTCGGCCTCCCAAAGTGCTGGGATTACAGGCTTGAGCCACCGCACCCAGGGTTTTTTAAATTTTTTAAATTTAATTTAATTTGATTGTTTTTAGAGATGGGGTTTCACCACTTTGGCCAGCTGGTCTTGAACTCCTGACCTCAGATGATCCACCCACCTCAGCCTCCCAAAATGCTGGGATTACAGGCGAGCCACCATGCCCAGCCTCCAAGGGATGATTTTATGGGAAATTGGGATAGACTCCATAACAACAACCTAATAAATGAAGGACAAGTAACCTGTCTTGCAGGATTTGAAAAGTTATTATAGTTCTTAACAATCTTTTTTTTCAAGGACTTTGTACTTGAGAAGCAGTATTCGAATGCTTGTTTTAGTTAGATTCACATTAACCAACATAATTTTTTTAGATTAAGAGTTAATGTAAGTTTCTAAGTCAGTCTCACCCATCACTTGTGTTCTATTTGGTGTTTGAAGAAAGGAAAGAGGAAAGCAATTATGAATTGTACTATTTGTACTAAATCTTCGGGATTTATTGGCAAATTTGTTTCACGTGGTGTATTAGAGAAAGGAAAACTTTGTTTCCTAGGCTGAAGGTCTAATTGATTAATACATTTGATTTATGGTGGCTTTTCATGTTCATTTGACTTATGATGTTACATTTGGCTTATGACCCTTCATGTTCATTTGAAATTCATCTTTCAAATGAATTTTCTTTCAAAATAAATGAAGAGCAGCTCTCCTTCTTTCCTCTTTTGAGCATTCAGGTATGGCAAGCTCAGATGTTCTGCTGGGTTCCAGCTGGAGCAGGGGGATGCCCTTTGGTTCTGGTGGTTTCTTTCTTCCTTTCTGGTATCCACCAAAGTAGATCCCAAAGATATACAGTACCTAGTTGATTCCAGCTGATGGGAGACTAGAAGAATTGCAAATGGGTGATTTGCTATTACTGTAAATAAAAAAAGGGCCTGAGCCTGGGAATTCTTCTTCAAAAAACAAATTCCCTGGGCCATTTTTCAGTTGTCTCCAGGATCATCTTGAGAGGGTCTTAAAATCTTTGCATCCATGCTATCTTTCTCACTTCTATTTCCAGATACTCCAGACTTTGAATTTTGCTTTTCCCTAGGAAACTATGAAATTAAAAAGGCTTTCTAGGCTTTTCCCGAATCCTCCATTTACTCAAATATCTAGAGTATGCATAACTATTCTCTTCAGATTTCCGTAACTATTCTCTTCAATTTCCTAAGACTAGAGAATGCATAACTATTCTCTTCGGATTTCCGTAACTATTCTCTTCAGATTTCCTAAGACTTTGGACTTCTAGTAATGTAAAAACAGCAAGATAAAGGGTATTTTTTGTGCTTTCTTCTTCTTTCTTTAGACCCCAAATGGAAAGATAAAGTGCTCACTTCCTCAAAATAAAATATATCTTTTTTTTCACTGAGACAGACAAATGGTCTCAGTGAATAATAAACTGGTGTTTAACTCCTGGAAAGACCAAAAAAGGGCCTATGAGGGTTGCATTTGTGGTGGGGAGTGAGGAATGACCCAGAGCTCTTCCTTCTGTCTGCCTTCCTCTTTCTCTCCTGCCAGTCCTGCTGCGGAAGCCTCAGTTCTAGAGAGAATTGAGAATGGGGGCTAAGGAAGCGGGTGGGCACAGGAGAAAAAGACCATATATTCTAGGGAGTCAAAAGGTCTTGTGCTATCTTGGGAAATAGAGCAGTCAATGAAATGAAATCAGTATAAGCTTGGCATTGTATGAGCTATTTAAAAAATTCAGATTGTTCCTTGTCAGGGCTATAAAAAGCTGTATAAACCTAGCCTTTTAAAAAATATTCATAATATATATGGCCTAAGAAATATCGTCACAGATATTTTTTTCTAAAAAATTCAGCACCTGTTTCTGCAAGAAATTTGGAAGCTTCAAGAAAAGGTACCTGAAGTTTTTCAGTTTTCTATTTGAATGTGACAACATAAACACCAATTCCCCTGTTCCTTCCTCTCCTGTTGTGTCTCTGGGGTCCTTTCTCTCTCTCTCTCTCTCCCTCTCCCTCCTGCCCTCCCTCCCTCCTCCCACCACTTTCCCCTCCACCCTGTCTCTCCTCTTCCCTCCCCTCCCCCCGCTGCCTGTCTCCCTCCCTATCCCTTACTCTTTCTTTGGCATCATTTACCTACATTAATTGAATAATTAACTAAGATTTTCCATTTTACTTTCTTAGTGAAGTCTTATAATCAGTTTCATAAGGAGATTTTGCATTAATCTTAAATGTATAAATTTGACCCAGTATGCTTATCTAGTAAGGATATAAGTAAGATAGATAAGTATAAGATAAATACTTATGTCTTTATATTGTACAGAATACTTAAAAAGATATAAATATTTATCTTATACTTATCTATAAATTCAATAATTTAGAAAATAAATATATAGGTTATACTGGTTCTTCTCTACATTTTTTTTTTTTTTTTGCACATGGAATTCCATGCTCAAAGTCACTTGACTTCAGAGTTTGGAAGATATGTGTCCATTATCTTTTCTCATATTCTGTTCCTATGGGGAAGTACAATGTCTGCGTCAATCCCATTCCTTTACATAACAGATGGGGAAGCTTTTGAAATTTATTTTTATTGCTGGAAACTTGAAATTTCACCAGTTTTATCTTTTTAAAAAATTCATACTGGTCAGTACTAAGTGAGCTCTTACAATCTGAGAACTAGCTCATTCTTCAGGTTCTACATATTTTCATCTAGCATTTAAAACAAGTGTTTGTTCATTTTATTTTCTCAATTATCTCCTTCTGAAACTCCAGTTAGATGATTGTGGCACTGTGTGGATTGAACCTCTGTGTCTGTTAAATGTTCTTATTTTTTCCAAGCTTATTTTGGCCATGGTGGTTTTAACACTTACGCCTTTCATTGTTCTTTTTTAAAATTTGACCAGGCATGGTGGCTGGCACCTCTAATTCCAGCACTTTGGGAGGCCAAGGCAAGAGGATGCCTTGAGCCCAGAAGTTTGAGACCAGCCTGACCAAGACCATGTCTCTACAAAAAAAAAAAATTCTTTTTAATTAGCCGGTTGTGATGGCACACACCTGCTGTCCCATGCCTGTTGTTTCAGCTACTCAGCAGACTGAGGTGGGAGAATCACTTGAGCCTGGGGGTCAAGGCTGCAGTGAGCCAAGATTGGGCCACTTGACTCCAGCCTG